TTCATTATCAAAGAGTGGCAGTTAAACATATCACTGAAAATGAAAAATTAAATAAATACAGGCAAGTAAATCTCATTTTAAAATGTACCATAATAAATGTATACATAAGCACACACAAACCTATACTAGATCTATCGTCAGTAGTATCCACACTTTGATTAAACCCATATTAAAAGGTGCTTGCTCCACAATGTGTGTCCCATGACCACTATCTATGCTGCCATGATTAACAGCATCCAGGTCACTGCCATCTGCTTAAGAACACAATTTGACAGCATTTTTACTACCCAAGGAGACATCACAGATACACATTAGAGTTTGTTGTTCAAGCTAATAATACACTGATTGAATAATAAGTATGAAAAGTGCCACACAGACAGTAAAATACAACTGCAACCAAGAAACCCACTGTGAATGATTACTGAACACTAGAACAAGATGATCAAAGTTGATATTAACAGTTGAAAAAAAAAGCCACTCTGGTGTTTTTAAATGAGAAGAGTACTCTAATACAGGTTGAGTTTCCCTAATCCAAAAATCTGAAATCTGAAACTTTAAGTGTTAACAAGAACCACAAGTAGAAAATTCCTCACCAGACCTTATGTGATAGATCATAGTTAAAATGAAGGCACACTAAAAATACTGTTTAAAATTACCTTAAGACTGTGTATATGAAACATAAATAAATTTTATGTTTAGATTTGGGTCCCACCTCTAATACATCTCATTATAAATGTGTTAAGATTCTAAGCCCTTAAAAAAATTCCCAAATACAAAGCACTTCTGGTCTCAATTATTGTGGATAAGGGATAGTTAACTTGTATTAAAATCTGCCTAATGGTAATACAACCAGAAAATATTCAATATTTTAAAAGTATTTAAAATTCCTAAAATTATAGAATGTTAACCAGCTAATTAACTTTGAAGAAAAAATAAAACATATACATCCCTTAAAGACCTTTAAATTACCTGAGAGAGTTGTTTGTGGTAAGTGTGCACGCTTCTTTAAAGCTCTTTTGAACTGTGCTACTCCTAAAACAACATTTCTTACTTTTGTCCAGAGAAAATAGCCACTATGACTTCTTGAAGGCCAGGTACTTTCCAAAACAGCCTATTCATTCAACAGAAGAAAATAATTAGTAAAATAATGTTTATAAATTATCATACACAGGCTTCAGAATCAAGCCAAAGAATGTCAAAGTAGATTATATAGCATGAAGGAAAAAAAAATTTTAATTACAAAGTATATTCTGAATACTATAAAATAAATGCCAAATGGCCGCTGCATCAATGATTTCTGCCACTAAATTAAGGTTGTGTAATGACAAAAATAATATTCTTTCTCCATGAAATCAAATTACCTTATTGTAATAACCGTATGTGATGGCATTGGGGTCAATACCAGCTTTCTGCATCTCAAAAAGCACTCGAACTGCAAGCACTGGCTGATCATACTGCCCACAGAGCTGCATGAGAATTCGGTAGCACACCTGGAACACATGTTGAAAAGTGCACAGAAGCAAAGACACACACAGAAATGTAGAGCAAAACAATCTATTTTAGAGAGGGTTACCTCATCAGGTGGGTCCATCTTCTTCAACTGCATTTTTTTAAGCACATCATAGGCTGTTTTCAGAGCCCTGACTTTGGAATGACATACTTTCACATAAGCTGGGAGACAAATAAACCATAGCCCATAACAGTGACGCAGAAGACACCTAGACCACATTTGAGGGACAGAAGAATACCTCTTGGCAATTTTATGGGCTGATTTAATTTCCTAGAAAATAAATGCAAGGATCTCATTAAGAAATTTACACACTTAGCATCTTTATTTAATTGAATGCTGAACAAGGAAAAGTTGCATGCTTTTTTAATGACTCCATAACAAAATTTGTCTGTATTTTTTCAAGCTCCTTTTGAATCTGTATTATACAATATATAAAATAAAGTTCTAGACAAGGTAATTAGGTTAATTTCCTGAATTCAGATTACTATAAATTCTTTTCAGAGTTCATGAGGAACCTAATAGTCTACTAACCATAACATCTGGGCTGCATTATACACTAGTATATTAAGGCAGGATGACTGTCAAATTGACTTCTTGTTTTAATATTTGATTACATGAAGAATGCAAAATTTTCAAAGCACCTGTTTTGTTCTTCTGAACATGGGAGAAGGACTACTAGGACTACTTGATTTTGAAGGCAATTTGTTTTTTTGTGTTTGTAGAAATCCTTCAGGTCTCTCAAATAAATTGTTCCTAAGAACTGGAAATCCATTATAGCTGTTTTAGAAAAGAAAAAAAAAATCAATCACACACAGATGATAATAGTGCTTACAAGCTAAAAACATTGTAACCAGTAACTTAACTTAAAATTTTAGTATCTTTCTGGCAGATATATACTCAGTAAACATTAATGCTAGTTTATTTTTCTTACTAATTCATTCATTCATTGCAGTGCTGCGGATAGTACTCAGGCCCTTCCATATGCATTCTACCATTGAGCTGCATCTCCAGCTCAGTTTTTTTGAGACAGAGTCTTTTTACACAGCTCATGCTGTCCTTGAACTTATGACCTTACTGCCTCAGCCTCCTGAGCTCTGGGGTTACAGGTATGAACTACCACACTCAGCACTTACCATAAAAATATTTAGAAATTGTAACAGCCAAATACAGACTAAACATATCTAGGGAAGGAGGGAAATATATTGAAATGCACTAGAAACCAAACTACAAAGTAACTCCAGGAAATTTTTAAAAGTTAGTAGTCACGTAAATACACAGGAAACATGTTAGAAAATGTCACCATTAGTAAAGAACCCACTAAATCAATACTGTTTCAAACAGACAGCCACAAAATACGGATTAACAAATTTACTGCTACTCTGGAAACAACAGCCTTAGTTGTAAGTATTGCACCAGGCCTAGCTCTCGTATTATCACAACTTTTATCAAGTTAGCTAGCAGGTTCAAGACCTTGTTTATGAGAAAGAAAATGAGAAGAGGAAAAAAACATTAGAATTAGAATGGGTGACTCTTCAAGGAGGTGGGTCTAATTAAGGTGCTAGGGCAAGGTGTTCTGGGCATTTTAAAGGTATCAGCAAATAGAAAGACATGCTGAAAAGAAGAGAAGAAGCCTCCAAGCAACAAACTTACCCTGTATTATAGTATTCTTAAAGCCATATAGTTTTAATTAAGAAGATAGCTAACTATAATAAGACAGTACATAATATCTATCATACATTATTACAGGCAAAGTCAGTACAGTCCTAATGTTGATGATGAGTGCTGAGTAGGAATAAGATGATAAAGAAGTTCAGGAAAGCCATGTCCCTTAGAGAACTTGCTGAGTGTCCATGGTATACTAAGAAGAGCATCTTGTGTGTCTTCTGGAAATGCTTTATCAATTTACACATATAATGTAAGTATATGAGTCATCTCTTCTTTGGAGGACCTACTGTGCATATTATAGACATTTCAGTTGTTTTTCCAGTGATGGTTATAACATCAAACACTGATACTACTCCGAAGGAAAAAAAATGACTCCTTGAAAAGTGGGAATTTTTGAGTCAGGAGTGGTGATGCATGCCTGTAATACCAGTCCTCAAGAGGCTGAGACTGAAGAATCATGAGTTCAAAGACAGTCTGGGATATACAGTAAGACCCTGCCTCAAAAAAAAAAAAAAAAAAACAAAATGAAAAAATCCCAAATATCACAAACAAACAAACCTTGGGAGCTTTTTAAAGTAAGTATTTTTCTTATTAAAGGACTAAATCTAAAAGTAAAATTTAAATCAAAACAGTTAAAATCAACCCACAGAAAGAAAAACAAAACTGTATCAATGAAACATCTAAAAGAAAATCAAGAAATGCATGGTACAAAAGAGATCAAATACACAAGATCTTGTTTAGAAAGAAAAAAAGAAAATTAAGAGACAAAAAGTAATATGAACATCATCAATGGATAAAATAAGAGCAGGAATCAAGTGGCCTAGGAATTAAACAACAGTTACAAACATCTGTCATGCCATTTTTTTCTTCTGTAAAATAAGGGATTTAATCCAAGTTATAAATGAGGCTGCTCTGGAAAATCCTTTTTCGGTGAAAACAAGTTGTGTCTCAAAGAACTACAGACACAAAATCGTTTTAGAACTTTTAAATAAAGTGAGAAAGTATTATTAGAGAACAAAAATGATTTACAATCTGAAAGGAAATATAATTCTAGGTAAAAATAAATATATATAGTTCCAGAAACAAAGTAATAAAAATCTACTTCTGTCAAAGTCCTTATTTTTTTGTGCTCAGCTCTCTTCTCTACTAGACTTGAAGACAGGAACAATTTTTCATTTAAGTCTAAATGCCAAGCACTTAGCAGTGTTTGACAAAATTTCCTCAATTAACAATAATCAATTCTAATTATTCTGAAATTTCATGGCTTAAAAAATTGATTCACACAAATCAAGGCTATAAATGCTGACCCTACATTAGATTTATAATCTTTTTATAAATTGAAGTTACATTAATAAATGTATGTATAGTATCAAAAGGGGGTGGAAGTGAGGAAATCAGTTTTAGTGAGAAACAAATTCAAAACTGTGTAATAAAATTACTGCATTTAAGATGCATGGGGAGCCTAAACATTTAATCAATATGAGGATACTTATGTAGATATAATTAGAGAACTGCTCAAGTCTACATTATAATTTATGTCTCAAAATTTAATAATGGATGTGGGATAAGCTTGCTTACCACCTAAAAATTAGGGATCTGTAAAGTTTGGATTTTTGAAAATACCAGTCCTTAGAAAGCTATGTCACAGATGATGGAGTGTTTTTCTCTTTCAAGCTCAAACATTCTGCCTCTTGAATACCTGTACTGTAAGGGGGGCTCTTCACCATTGGGCAGATGGGGGATCTCGGGTGGTGTTACAAAAACAGTATGTTCACTTTTGAAAGATTCATCCAGTTCTATAAGTCGCACCTCACCACTCTTATCCATGTCCACCTGAGGGAGTATAAAAAAATACATTAAAAAACCACATTGGTTAGTTGAGTGCTCATCTATGGAGTAATGGCTAAATAAGCCAATTATACAAATGTTTATTAAAGAGCTACTAAAAAATAAGAAGCAAGTTCTCTGTTTACCAATAATTAAGTGAAAACAGCAATGTGAAAGTCATTTATATAGTATACTAACTTTTGAGTAAGATAAAAGGGGTAATAAGAAAATATATATTTATGCAAAGAAATGCTAGAACACAAGGAAAAGTAATTTGCAAGGGCGAAGAGGAGAGGAATGGGATAGGTGAGGATGGACAAGACCCAGATGTCCAATTGCACACCTTTTTATGCTGTTTTGCATTTTGAATCATGAGAATATATTCAAGACATACTTTTAAGTGTACACTCATGTGTATGTTAAAATAGTGGGGTCTAATTTTTTAAATTTATTCTGAAACAATAAACTTTTGTATGCCCTTTCAAGTATCTGTAGAAGTAGACTTGAGTTAAAACTCTAGTCATATCAATACAGAAAGCATTGCTGTTGCCCCTACGTGCTCTACAGCAAATTAGTATCTAGAAAAAAAGGAAAATTTCACAGAGCCCAAACTGCTCCATAAGAGCTCATAAACTAAAGAACAGAACATTAAACCTTATATTTTAAAAAAAAAGTCATACATATGCCAAAATACAATCTACAGAAGTTTATTTGCTAAGAAAAAATTAATACCATATACAAGTAATGAGTAAAGTCAAGGGCAAGAATTAATAAATGAATTTTTTTTGGTGGGACTAGGGTTTAAATTCAGGGGTTGCTTGTAAAGTAGGCACTCTACTGCTTGAGCCATACCTCCAATCCAAGTTAAATTTCAAAGATAAGGATTTAGAGCAGAGTACACCAAAAAGAGAAAAAGCTAAGTTTTAAATTTTTTCTTTTTTTTATTATTCATATGTGCATACAATGCTTGGGTCATTTCTCCCCCCTGCCTCCACCCTAATTTTTCTCTATTAACAAGAACAGTATATTCAAAATCTTCTCACAGAAATTTTGTATTATAATTTCATATCATTACAGTCTGTCATTTTCAGAATTAAAGAAATATTTTAATAGTATATCCATAAAGTAAACTAAACAGTATTATGGTATATTTCAGAATTACAATGAATGACAAAAGAAAATGTTCATAAAATAATGACAAATGATAAAAGAAAAAAATCATAAACATCTACACATATATGCACACACACATTATTATTCCTAAATTTTTTTTTTTTTGGTTGTACTGGGTTTAACTCAGGGCCTTGAGCCTGAAAAGCAGGTACTCTACCACTTGAGCCATGCCCCTCCCCAGCTGTTTTTGCTTTGGGTTATTTTTCAGACAGGGTCTCACATTTGTGCCCAGGCCAATCACAGTCCTCCTACTTATACCCTCCACGCCTGCCCCACAGCTGGAATCACAGGTGTACACCACTACCTGGCTTATTAAGATGGGAGCTTACTTTCTGCCCAGGTTGGCCTCAAACTGTGATCCCCGTGACCTCTGCCTGCTGAGAGGAAAAAACCCTACAAAGACAAAATGAACTAGAGAGGGGACAATAGCAGATCTGGAGTTCAAAATATTTCAAAAGCTACAAAGTTACTCATAGACAGCTACCTATCTGGCACTGGAGAGGGGAAGGATGATGCCAAAGAAGGAAGCATTTTTCTCTGTAGAGCACCAGATAGGTCAGGAATAAATGGTGCAAAATGAAGCTGGGGTGGGGAAGCTCACGCTGTAATCACAGGCACTTGGGAGGTGGAGATCAGGAGGATGCCACTTCAGAGCCTGGACTAAAAGGTCAAAAGACCCCATCTCAACCATGAAAAAGCTGGATTTGGTAGCACATGCCTGCCATTCCAAGCTACACATGGGAAGCATAAATAGGAGGATCACAGTGTTTTGGCTGTAGGCAAAAACACAAGACTCTTATCAGAAAAATAACTAACATAGAAAAGGCTGGAGGTGTTCAAAGTGCAATGAACCTGTCTGATAAGCAGAGTCCTCACTGGGCCAGCCTGGCATTCCCACACCAGCCCAAACTCTGCAAGCAGCACTTTCTGAATGAATCCACAGCTACCCCTCCAGTAATGCAAAACAGATGTCATCTAACTCATGGTGAAGTTCTCCAGCTAAAAGAATCAATACTTTATAAGCTATGATTTCATCTTTCACACATATTCAAGAAAAACTTGGAATCAGGAATGAAATTACTTTACAAAACTACCATCGATGCAAATGAAAAGTAGTATTTCCCAGCATTATAAATGAAACTTCTGCAGATGTGCTTGTTAGACTGACATCTTTGGGAATAGCCATCTTAAAATACTAACTTTTGATTCCAAGACGGTGGCTAGAGGGAGGAAGCAGAAAGCGAGCCTCCTATAGTGAAATCTTGGAGAGACGCTGGAGACACACTTTGCAGGCAAAACCACCGAGAAGAGGCAAAACTTTGACCCCTCCACACCTCCAGCCGGTGCAGAGCATGCCCACTTCACGTTAAACGGAGACACCAGGAGAACCCCCGGGCCGCCAATTGCCCGCACCCAGACAGCATGGGAAGACACGGACAAGGTGAGATTCGCGGTACTGCTGAACTTCCACAGACAACCCTGGGCCAGAGCTTCACAGCCCCCTGGACAGACTGACCTCCACCCAGGGAAAAAAGAGAAACTGACTAATAAGCAATAAGAACAATAAAGACACGCGGGAAAGAGGGTGGGGTGCACTAAGTGCTGAAGATTGGGGGAAAGGAATCCTTCCCCGAACTGTAAAAAAAACAAGCCAGGCAGCCGGAGAGGCTCCAGCGGGAGCAGGAGCATGCACGCCCAGCAACAAGGAGCAGGAAAGCTTGTGAGAGTGGCGTACGGAGGAAAACTCCACAGGAGGAGGGAAGACCCACTTCCCACATGAGCTGTAAACAAACATGGTGACTGGCAAGAGCAGCAGCACCACCCAGTAATCAGGAGCAGGAAAGCTTGTAAAAGTGGCGGTGGGAGGAAAACTGCACAGGAGAGGGGGGAGGACCCACTTCCCACATGAACTGTAAATAAAATAAACACGCAGGCCTGAGAAAGCGGGTGCAGTGTCACCTTCCCCAGTGTGCTTGGAAAGGGGAAAGCTTGTAGCAGAGGCACAGGAAAACTCTGAGTAAACAAAACCTGAAGGGCCAGGTGAGTGCTAAGCTCACCGCAGAGATCTGCATAAATAACGCCTCCAGCAACAGCAGGCTGACAGCAGTGGGCAGGTGAGCCACAGCTGCAGATATTCACAGAACTGTCTCCAGACACTTTTTTTTTCTTTTCCTCCTTACCTTTGATGAGAGAACAACCGAATTACACCTGCATGCTGAAAAACTTACTGAAACTGTATTGCATTTGAACTTGGGACACTTGGTGGGTTTTGTGTGTGTGTGTGTGTGTGTGTGTGTGTGTGTGTAGTTTTGTTCTACTTTATGCGTCCCCTTTGATGAGACAACTACAGAACAACATCTGAGGCACCATCTCCAGGATTGGAGACTGAGACAGACACCCAAATTATTAAGACTGAAACTTCACTGCATTTGAACTTGGAGGTTTTTTTTTTTTTTAATTTCTATTTTTAATTTTATTTTATTTATATACATATTTCTTTCATTTACTTATTTTTTATTTTTATTCTTATCTTTATTATTTTTTATTTTCAATCCTCTGTCTCTCTAATGCCTGTTCAGCTTATTGTCGATTAGTATACTAACGCTCCCTGTTTATACCTTTGAAACTTTCTTGTCTGATTCCTTATTCTGTTTTCTCCTTCTTGTCTGTTTGTTTTTCCCTTTTCTTTAACTTTTTGCTTTCCATCTCCTCTCACCCTTCCATTCTAAATATTACATTGTTATTATTACAAGCTAGAAAATACTTAATTGCACACAGTACAGGGACAGTAACAACACCAAAGACAATGAGGGAAGACAGAAAAAACAGGGAAACCAGTTTCCCACAGCAAAAAATTAGTACAGGAACCAGAGGGAAATGAAGAAAACGGATACTCAGATCCAGACTCTAACAAAATGAAGATAAACTATGCCAAAGGACCCAATGAAGCCCACAAGAATAATTCAAAAGAAGACATACTACAGGTACTCAATGAGAATTTTATAGAGATGATACTGGATATGGTCAACCAAAATGTACAGGAGACACTCAAGAAATTCCAAGACAACAAAAATAGAGAATTTGAAAAAGCAAAAGAAGAAATAAAGGAAACCATAGAAGCACTGTATAAACACCAAAGTGAAACAGAGAACACAATGAATAAACAGATAAATGAACTCAGGACAAAAATAGACAACATTAAAGAGGAAACCACCAGGATATGGAAAACCTCAGAAAAAAGAACAAAACAGAACTGCAAAACAAAACGGAAGGCCAATCCAGCAGAATAGAACAAACAGAAGACAGAATCTCAGAACTTGAAGATGAAATGGTAATTAAAGGAAAAACCGAAGAACTATTAATTAAACAACTCAAGACCTGTGAAAAGAAAATGCAAGAACTCACCGACTCCATCAAAAGACCAAACTTGAGAATCATGGGAATCGAAGAAGGAGAAGAGGTGCAAGCGAAGGGAATGCGTAATATATTCAACAAAATAATAGAAAATTTCCCAAATCTAGAGAAAGATATTCCCATACAGATGCAAGAGGCCTCCAGGACACCAAACAGACCAGATCAAAATAGAACTACCCACATATATCATCATTAAAACAACAAGTTCAGAAACTAGGAAAGAATATTGAAGGCTGTAAGAGAGAAAAAACAAGTAATATACAAAGGTAAACCCATCAAAATCACAGCAGACTTCTCAACAGAAACATTAAAAGCAAGAAGAGCGTGGGATGAGATCATCCGGGCACTGAATGAAAATCACTTCAACCCCAGGATACTCTACCCAGCAAAACTATAATTCAAAATAGATGGAGCAATAA